GGGCTGTACTCTAAAATACTTTTTTTTTCTACTTTTATCGGCGATGAGTGGAAGATAAAAAAATTCGTGCTATCATTTTTTTTTTTGCCCATTTAGTTGTTACACATATATTAAAATTCCCCGAGCTTGATATGCATAACTAAAACCTTCTTCAAGAATAAATCACCTTAAAAAAATATCTACTTGTTATGTGATTTTTCGTCATTGCCTTTGTCCTAGTAAGCGGATTTAAATTAAATTTAGGATTCTGAATTTCCGCTTTATGTGTAAGTGTTGAATATATGTACTAATGTTTATAATGAACATAGAAAAAAAAAAGGTAGGATAACTTTTGTCTCGACTTGAAATAGATATACAAATCTATTACGATAAGCACATCATCCATCTTTCACGTGTCCTTTTGTATTCCCATAGAAGGAGAGCCGAGCCACGTTAGTAAATCTCACCTTTGGGCCATTTTTACTTCAAAGTGAAGATAGTTCGTTTTTGGCAGATTCTCAGTCCAGGTTTGGGTTCTTTCACTACCGTATGCCACAAATTACCCCCACCTAAGAATCTCATGAGCACGCGCTTTGCCCTTGTCTCTTTGTCTTTGCTTTGCCAACCATTGGCAAAACAAAAGTTGCTCATTGTGCATTTTTATGAATGTGAACAAGCGGGATTCAGGTTAATGACAAAGAACTGTTATCTCTTCTCAAATCGGCGCGTGTGCCTTCACGCACACGCGCCCTTATTTGTTTAGCTCTCCATCCATTGAGCACATTAAACGAAACTGTTTTCGGGACCTTGGATGTCATTTTACAGGTAGTAAGCCTGAGTTTGCGTAATAAATGAATTAAGCATGTTCTACATTCTCATATTGTTTAAGTTTTTTTTTTTTTTCTTTCTTGTCGCCATTAAAACAGTTTTTTTTTTTAGCATATACATGAATGCCAAGAATGCACGAATACTTTTCAATTTCCTATCATGCATTTCGAACTATTTCATCTCCGATCACTTGTCAGCGGACTTCCCGAGGTAATGTACATGGTGTGTTCTTATTATCCTACAAGGAACGACAAAGTGTTATCTTTATCTCGGAGATGTTTCCGTGGCTCCCCCCAGTGCACGTTACAGATCGGATAGTTTTTTTTGTTTTTTTTCCAAGTGTGTGAGCCTGGTGGCGTATTAAAAACAAACTCAATCGCAACACTCGGTGGAGTCAATGCTTTGATGCTCAAATGCTCAACAACAGCTCTAACAACATCGTCATACTTATATTCCTTTTTGTTAAGCCGTAAAACAGAAATCGGAATCTTATCCATAACACGTATTCGTGAAGTGAGCCCTTGGAAACATCAATTGAAACGATTGGGAATTGTGTCGATATTTGTTCGCACATGACACGTTTTTAAGAGTGGTACAAGGACCTCCCTTTGCTCAGTCGTGCAATTTATCTCAGTTCCTAAATTATTGCTTTCCGAATTCTGTTTTTTTTATACTTTTCAGAGTGTCTCCGAAGAAAACGCGGTTTCGGAATATAAAGTTAAGTCATTGTTTTTGTCCGACAATTATCTATGACTTCTCAGGAACTGGCACCCACGACTCAAGAACTGAAATCATTTTTTTTTAATAAGGAGAAAAACATTTTCCATTAGCGCATTGTGGGAAATTGCAGATTGGTTTTGACACAGGTCAATTCCTGCAGACCGGTTAGTGGACTGTTTCTCTGAAGCTGAGTCGAACAGAAAGACTGGCGTGAGCACATTCCTTCCGAAAATGATGTCCAGATAAGAGCACTTTAATTTTTAACCTGCTAGTATATAAAGTGGCAGGCGGATATCTGTTCAATCTGCCTTTGGAGTTGTCGGGCCTCTCTAATATTTTCAGCAGTGTTGCGCCTCGTATCGAATCACTGCAGACACATTATCCATCTTTATAGTGATTTCGAGAGTCGCGATCCCTTTCCTTACCCTTCTAATTAAAATATGTTTTGAATAGCGTTTTAATGGTCATGTTGCGCTGCTTCTACACGAAAAACGTATAACCGAGGACCGGCTAAATGTTTATAATTATTTGTACCTCCATCATAGGACGTATGTATAATTTATGTTCAGTAAATTTGTAATATTGGCTTCCACTGCTGACCCACACTTGTTTCCAGGCACCATCGCATAGACCTTAAACCATACAAAATAACGTGACTTCTTTTTTTTTTACCCAGTTTTGGCTGTTATTGCGTTAAGCATACATGTATAAGGAAACTAGGGCGGGATTCGAGATTGTAGTTGGTATATCTACAGCTTCCTTCTTCTCTCCAAGGCAAAACTCTCTGTGACGCCAAGGCATATGATCTCATTCACTTTTAACATGCTCGATTGCCGTCAACTAACCTAGCTGTTCCTCACCATCACCAGTTACTTGCCGTGATAGCGAGATACGTGACGAGATGTAACAGGCATAAAACATGGACGGTAGCCACTGAAACACATCCTCACCAAAACCCTTCACAAAGAAATGTCGTTGCGGGCCGTTTTTCAGCTGACGCTTTTGGTCATTTGTACTTAATTTTGTATCTATAGCCCCATGCATTGGTTATTATACTCAAATAAAATACGCGTACCAGCTACGTATTTATCTAATCAGCATAAAAATAAGCACAAATAATAATAGGACGGGTTCCCTATGAATATTCTGCCAGTAATGCAGCGTGGCATAAAGTAAATATGCAAACCTTAAATATACAAAATATTAAAAACCTCAAGTTGCGTACGTAAAATTAATTCCAGACTTCTTTCTTTTATTTGCGCAATAACACTGTTATTTTTATATGTCCGACCACAACGAGATCACAAATGTTCACAATTCAACAGCTCAATTCAGTTCACGTGGCTAACAACCGGTGAATGTCAGTTCTGGCGACAAATACACTCTAATATCTAACGCATTACAGATGTTTCACTATGATAGCTATGGATGAGGCAGCGATATTCGGTTCGAATGACTATACGAGTACACCTCTATAGTATTAAATACCTCGAACACTAACGTGAGGAAACACCGTTGACTATCAAGTTTTAATTCTTGCAGCCACATATTTGTACGAACCCCTGCACGAAATTACTGTTGGAAAGTCGCGCATTTTCATGCATTGGATTATGAAGGTTCTTCTGGGCGTTTTCAGATAACATCAAACAACCATGTCCCTGTCGATATTTTTAATTCTAAAAAAAAAAAAAGAAAAGAAAATTGGTTGCTTGTGCAAGCGGGAAAATGTCTTCAAACTTTTTTTGGTGTGTGTGTGAAAAATAAAATATATTTTCTGGAACAGAAATACAAAGTCGCTGTAGGTCATGTGTGCGTTTCGTGCCTTGCCCGAAGCCGTCATTTTGAATAGTTTTAAAACATAAACTATTGTCGCTGTGGGCTTATTATATTTTGGGCAGAGACTGGACATACGGGATCACGAGTTAAACATTTCTCGTTGACTACAAAGCATTTTTTTTATTTCGTAAAAAAAAGTACAAACGTAACATATAATATAAAATTTTTCCCAAATTTACAGCGTTGTAACTCCGTATTAAAAGAGTATCCGAAACTATAAAAAATATATTTTAATTCGGAATACGTGTTTAACGTTCGTATGATTTTTCATTTAAATTAAAAACGCGCATCTTTTTTTAATTAGTTAAACGTAGTTAGGTTACCCATTTTGTATTAGTTTGAAAATCATAAAAAAAAGACAATCTTCAATCTTGTTTTAATTTTCGAAAATCAAGTTTTTTTCTGCCATATTGGGCGCTTTAAAAACATATTGCAATATATATATATATTTTTTTAAATTTTGCCATTTACGGCGCACTTAATGGGACCGAATTAGCCGAACTGCCGTTATTGGAGTACAGAAAGATAAGACGTGGCCGGTTTCAAGCAAGGGCAAGAAAGTGGCCTAAAAAAAAATATAACAAGTCTGTCAGCAGACTGTATACTGTGGCAGGATTTTGTCAAAAATTAACTGTTCTTAGAAAATATTTCAGTTGATAACAAAACACAAGTTGATAACAAAACACAAGTTGATAACAAAACACAAGTGAACAATAAAAATACTGTACCGATTTCTCGATTCTGCGAACCTCTCCCTCTCTCTTTTGTTTACAAAAAGCCGGTGTGGGAACGAGATCAAGAGGCTCCCTTACACTTGTCCCTTTCTTTATTGGGACGGGAGTTTGGCGGCGGTAACCGCCAAAACCTCCGGACATGGTTATTCGATCTCACCTGAAAACGGACTTCTAACACATTTCGTCGAATATGACTTTGAATTCTTACGCTTTCAGCGTAGCATTAGTCTTGCTGCTACGCGTACGGGCTTCAGTTCGAATATGCATGTTCAAAGCGAAGAGACAGGGAACATATTGCAAATCGTCTTATGAATCGCATCAGTCTGAACCGCCATTGAACCTGACCGCCGTATCGCATGTACTCGTCTTTCGTTTGACGCGCAGGCATTCAGACGCCCCCAACCGAGAATCCGTTTTTGGGATGTTAGCGTTGTCACCTGTTTGCGGGGTTCGAGCTCGATTGCACGCTCCAATACATTGCACCAGCGCGTTCGCACAGCGCCATTGCAAGCGATTGGAACATACACCGCGCTCGCTGGTAATGCATAGAGATTGCAATCTTTGACCGCTCAATTATTCGACACCAATCATTTCATGAACGCCGCAGTATGATGCACTGAGCTACAGATTCAGCGGGAGATCGTCTGTGTATTCGTCGCACGCGCATCTGATTGGCATTTTGCCTGCTCCGTTGTCAACGGGAAAGGCATCCACTTTTGAGCCACCCAAGATTGGCCTTCGAATCGGGTTTCCTTGCGCGCTGGTTACGGGCTGTCTGAGTGTCCGAGTGAGCCTATGACAGGGGGTGAGCGGGACGGCTCGGAGCACCCGCCGCGTGGGGCGGTTTGCGCGGAGTCGGCGGACGTTGGCGCCCGCGTGTATATAGTCCTGGCGGAGACTCACCGGATGCCGAGGCGAGGCGGTCTCTCCAGAGCGCGGGGTTCTGCACGACGCTGGGCCAGTAGAGGTGCGGCCTGCCGGGCAGGTCGGCCAGGCCCATCTTGTGCAGCGCCCCGTTGGCCGGGTTGAAGTAGACGCCCGCGCCGACTCCGAGCCCGAAGCGAGGCAGGCCGATGGCTCCGAGCCCCGTCGCGCCCACGGCGCCCGCGGCGCCCACGGCCGCCTGGCCCACGGGTCGGCCCAGGATGTCGTTGATGCCGTGCGGCGTGCCCGACGCTGTGGAGTAGGCGCACGACAGCCCCATCGAGGCCTGCGCCGCCTTGAGCGGCTGCGCGCCGCCCTGGTAAACGTGCGACGCCTGGCTCGCCGTGGCGCGCAGGTCGGCCATCGAGTGCAGCGCGGCCAGCGGAGGGTTGCCCAGCAGGAAGGCGTTGGACCGCGAGGACTCCATGTTCAGCATGGAAAGCATGCACGAGGCGCTGGTCGCCGGCTGCGTGGACGAGGCGCCGCCGCCCAACTCGAGCATGGCACGCCGACCGCTCTGCCTAGGGCCACGGCATGCGACCTCTGCTGGACGTCGCCGCACGTCGAGTGCCGCCCAGAGGACCCCTCGGGCGCCCCGCCGCCACGTCGGGGAGACCTCGGGGGCCACGGGGGCGGAAACGGGCGGGCCCGGCCGCTGCCACTCATCCGTCGGGCTCCGCCCCGCCGTGCACGGGAGCCAATCGGAGGCCCGCCGCCGACCCGATATCTACGACGTCAGCTGCTCGCAGAATGCACACGCTCCTCGGCGGCTCCATCGAGAGTGTGTGCGCTTCCGGCAGCACGGTTTGAACACCGGGGAAGCCCCCGCCGAGTCCCGACTGGGAAAAGAAGGGAGGCTGGTTTTTTTTTTTTTCCTCGGCGTACTCCGTCTTCTCATCGCGTTTATGCCTTCAACTCTGTCGTTGTTCCGACGGCAATCGGCGACGATCGACTGGCATTCATGCTTCCGCCGTGTACGCGTCGCTGCGGAAGCTAGAATGCGGGGGGCCGAGCTCGTACCACGATTCCCAGAGTGCCTTATCCAGTGATCAGTAAGTGCTTTCTCTTGAAAGTGGTTTCGTTGGTGCTCCATTATTTTGCGAGATTCGGCCCATTCTCGTAGCACGAGGGAGAGCAAAGGTATTATAAACTTCAACCAGTTCCTCATGAAAACATCAAACGCAAAGAAAGAAAAGAACGTCATAAATTTTTAATTTTTTTTTTATTGAACCATTTTTGATGCGCTCTGAAAATACCTCTTTCGCTGCTGTTTTTTTTATGTTACTTATTAAACTGTCATTCACAAAGAACTAGTAACATTTATTTTCGTACATTGATTTTGTATTTATAGTGCTAGTTAATGAAACGGTCAATCGAGCGTGTTGTTGCACTCAAAATAATTAACCGAGACAAAAAATCTGGGCTTAAAGCTAAAAAAAAAAAAGGAAAAAGCCAGCTGGCGATTTTTTTGTTACGGCGGAAATCGTCACCACCGCGGCCAACGTGCGTTTCGAACTCTGACCATGAGTAATTCTCAAATTAATTTAAATCCCACGTGAGCCAAGAGGATCATCCATCCACGAGATTCTCCCGTGGCGCTCGCTACACAAGTGTTCGTATTCCCTTTCGGAAGTTGGTTAATTAACGCATCATTCTCTATAGGGGTAGTCATTTAAGCTAGAAAATGATCAATAAATAAATAGTAAGCTATCTGACCTCTAACAATGCAATAGAAGTCAAGCAAATATATCAAATCTGAGGAAGAAGTTCATGTTTCACTACTCAAATACTAACCAACGATTTACCATTTATCTTTTTGTTCCTTTGTTTCCAAAGTTGCCATTGTTTTGCTGTCTTCAACCCCTGAACATAAAAGATTACAGGTGCCCTGCAAAGAGCATTTTGCTTCTCCACTTTTCAACCGAGCATTGAAGCGAAGCTAACCATAAAGATGAGAGTTTCCGCGGGTGTCGCACTTGTTTCTTTCTGGAGCGAGTTTGGCTAGGCCCGAAAACATACTAAAGCTTGAATGGTCATTGCACATTCAATAGACAACGAAAAAAAGAAAAAAGAAAACTTTTCCTTTCTTGAGGCTTTTCTTTTTCCTTTCTCGGAGACTTGAGGAACATCATTGCTGACTTCTTTGACGTTTCCAAGTACTGGCATACTGGGTCAGCCCCCCCCCCCCCCCCCCCCCCCCCAATCTCTGAGGGTAAAAATAAGTAACTTTCCGGTCTAATATTCTGAACGTCGTCATTCACTAGGATCCGTCCATTGTTTTCATTGATTGACTGTCTGTCTGCGTGTTCTGCAAAAAGGTGAACTCACATATTTCTTATCTTCTTTCTTTTTTTTGTGCGTGTATAGCCATCTTAGTAGAACTTTTTGGGAGCTTTCTTGGCCTCAGCGTTTCAGAATTTTTTTTTTACACTTTTTTTAATCGCATATGAGCGTGTTACGGGTATGTCTCAAAATAAGGTTTCATCGTTCTTTTTTTTCATTTTTTTTTTCTTTTCTTTCTAAGGAACTTTTGCGCCTCGCTAACGCTTGGCGATGTTTAAACGTGACTTCTGGTTTAATTAAATAATCTTAGTTCTTTTGCTTGTTTTTTTACAATAAGAAAGGAAAACTGGGAGGCAAGGGGGGGGGGGGGGAGACAGAGACAGAGGCCCAAAATGAGCCTCCCTTCTTCAGTTCTGCAGATGGCCGTGTGAAAGCCAACGATGTACATGAGTAACCAAAATTTACCAGGACCATTTTGTTTCTTGCGTACGTTTAGCCTCTCTGTAGCACGACATTTTACCTGGTATGCTTTTAAGTTAAATCTGCGGTATAGCCTTTCAGATAGTATGGGACCTTATAGCCTGCATGCATTTAAAATGGCGTTTAATGTCTCGCCTGCGGAGGGGCAGTTTGGCCAGCGCAGAGTACGACAGCTAACCCGAGTTCTTTCCTGTGAATCATGCAGCAGCTTTTAGATGAGATGGGCAAGCGTTTGAATATTATGTTCCCCTTCATATGGAAAGGATGCAACCCATGAAAGCTTTCCGTGGTGGTTGCGCTGTTGGACTGCCCGACTTGGTGTCGTTCGAGAGACAATGTACCTGTAAGTTGCCTAAGCACCCATAATGTTGTTTCGGTAGTACCCTTCGGATGGCAAGCTCAGAAACGAAAAAAAAAACAAAAAAACATCATTTGCTGTATGTGTTACATAAATACCCGGGCGCTGTTCTTTAGGGAGAAAAAAACTAATATAAAGAAATAGGGTGGGTCTGTTTTTTCATGTTCCGATTTTCGTGCTGTTTTATGTTCGTTTTTCTCACATATGTTCCGGCTTTAATTTTGTACAAACACTAAATACTGATTTAGCCCAAATTTAGTAAAATAAACGAAAAAAAACACCTTAAATCACTTGAACGAGTCGAGAAAAAGTGACCACACAATAAACAATTCAAAATATTCAATAAAAACAACTCACTCCTCGGCGAATAATGAAACACGAATGTGCAACAAGAAAGCAACAACAAAAAGGAACAAAGCACCTCCAAATACATACACACGAAATGAGGTAAACTTAAATGGTATTGTACTGCGCAGACACTGTTCAGTGCACCTATTTGTTGTTCCTTACGGAACAGGCGATTTACGTGTTTCCACGGGAGGGGGCATGCCTATCTTTGCGGACATATAAGGTCGGCGCACGTGCACCAGGCTATCGGAATCGCGGCAGCATCTGGCGCCTTCCATGAGTTGCTCCACCGGTCCCACGCCTCTTTTATCCATTTCTTTGTAGGTGACAAGTGTGCCAGTGCACGAGGTTTGTGCTCCGTGCGCGAGTTCAGAGACCATGGTATAGGACGCTTTGCACACGCTCCAAATTAGAGGCCGCCATTGCTGACCTTCTCTTGTCTTAGCCAGATGCCGAGCCACTGAAGTGAGCGTTGACGAGCCTCCACCAACGCCAATGCTAGGGAGGAGGACACGGTAAAATCTAAAATGGCAATGACCTGCCCTGCTAGGGTAGTGATGAAGTGAAGTAAACGCAATAAGAGGAAACAAAAACTGAAGGTCAGTTATGGCGGCGCCCATGCACACCTGCTGCAAAGCGTGTATAGCGCGACGTTGATCTAAGCTATGGAGATGTCATGTTGTTTTTCGAGAACTCGCTCGTCTCACGTTGTTTTGACGCAAAATGATTTGCTGGCACTTGTGAGAAACGCAAAGTGTAAGCAGAACTTTTCTTTGGACGTTGTGCGCACGTGCTCATGCACGGGCTGTTTTCCGGTTGTTTTCCTTTCAATCTCTCGGTAAACGAGAGCAAATATATCTTCCTCGTTCACCAATGGCCGTAAAGCACAGCATCCGGCCTGATGTGGGTTAATCCAAATCGCTGTTTTGAGGGTTCCTTCTTCCAAAACAGTTCGCCATCGATTTGGAATAGGGAAGGGAAGCTAGGGATTAGAGAAAGAAAGAAGTTTGCATTGGCCCCTAAAAACTACGTTTATTATAAAAAGAAGTGCTACGGAATTTTATTTATGACATCTCCGGGTTTAAATTTCTGCACAGTATTCTAGCCTCCACTATACGACTAAAGCCTATGCCTTAGACTCCAGAAATGTAAACTGCCTCACTGCCATTAAAAACAAAGGAGCGGACACTCTAAAACAAAAACCTGTGGGTTGACTAGGTTCACTTTCCTGAAGAATACAAAAGCAGTCAATCACGGCACAAAAAAAAAAAAAAAAGAAAGTAAGAAATGTATTGAATGCCGTATAGCTCAGAATACAACTAAAAAGACAACCGTGACTGGTTGTCTCCGTATTCTGCGGAGAATTCACTCGCAATCGTTTTTTTTTTGTTTGTTTTTTTGTTTGTTTTTTAGAGCTGGTGGCAAACGCTAAGCTCGAATCAGGGAACCAGAAGAATGCGCAGTGTCATTTTCCGAACAACTGCAATTTTCTATTTTTGCTTGAAAAAACGAGGCGACCCCCTTCGTATCTCCTCTCTACGTCTCTTCTGGCTCACTGTCCTACAGTTAAGCGATGAAGCGCACTTTTTTAGCAAGCTTCTAGCATCCACTCTTTCCTAGTTTGAATAACCGATTTTGGCGTGAAAGTCGCAGGCTTTAACCGAGAGGTGGAGTGCATACGACAGTACCCCCAAAAACATAGACTTCTTCGATTTCTCGCCGCAACAATTGGGAGACGTCGGCCCTCACAACACATATACCTTCCCATCCAGTAAGCCCCGGGCGGCCACCGCGCATTGCGAGTCACGCAACTATTCCAAACCATTCCCAACTCAAAGGGACTCATCGGCGACCCGACGGCTGATGGGCCCCTGATTTGGTTTAGCCGCAAACCAAATCAGGCGCTCCGAGAAGGGCCGTTCTTCTCGCGGACGAGACGCATCCGTCCGCGAAGACGTCCACGCGGTGCTGCATCTCTCCGCGACGCAAAGCCGCGGCCGTCGGATGGACTGCTAAATCCGATTTTCTGGTCAATCAGTCGCGTCGTAGGGCATTGGCGGCAATCACGGGAAGGACGGACATTAGGAAGCGCTGACTG